AGACCTTGGCGTAATACTTACCATATTTACCACATTTTCGTCTTTTATTTAAAAGGGTAGTTTCCTTCTTTCTTCCCTCTCCTTTCCCTGTTTACACATCCGTTTATTAGTGACATGCATGAGGCTGAAAGCAATTAATGCTTCATCTATATAATGTATGCGGCATAAGGGACTTTGAGGAGTCCTGCCTTCCCGGGTGTGGTATCGCTCCTTAACTTGGGGCCAGAGTACGGGAGGCGAGGGTGGTGGGGAGGAGTTAACGTCTAAGTTTGGAGGAGCACAACGGCGAGGGGCTCTTCGACACTGCAGCTCGCTGCACCATTCCCAGAGGTCACTCGGCTGGGCCTGGACCTTTGAGGGCTGTAGCACATTACTTCTCTAATGTTCTTGCTGCAGCTGCTGGCATTAATATAACTACTTCCAGTTATGGAGTATTACCCACGCCTGAAGGTGTCGTGTTATCCACGAAGATACATTTGGGGATTCAACGAACCAGTCCTGGGTGCTGAATCACAGCTAAGTCAAGTACTTGTCTTTGTGCAAGGCTAAGCTGATTAAAGCCAATAGGCTAAGCTAAAGCCAATTAAAAAAAAAAAAAAAAAAAAAAGTCTGGCCACTGGCATCGTGGAGAATTTAAAAGGACTCAGAGAAAGAAAAATGATGTGCTACAGTGTGCTCCATGTTGCCCATCAGTTCATTGCTAAGAAAAGAGTGTCGGACCGGATTTGAAGGAACAGCGACCAGGAAACAGATCACTGCAGGTTCACCGAGACATTTTTGATTGTTCTTGAGATGAGACTTTTTCAAGCTCGTTAACATTTTTGAGATACTAATCACTGGCTGGAGGAACTGCTCCAGGAGTGCTCAGTATCCTGCAGTACCATTAATTTTCAAAGTTCTAGTTAAAATTACACAGTACTATGAATTGTCTGCAAATGTTTCCACGCTTCTGGCAGAAACAACTAGTGAGCAGATAAATTATTTTTCTAGGGCTGTGCGACCGACCAAAGAGCTACATAGTACCCTTCTACATATCAGTATTTAACAAGGAAGGCAGATTCATATTTTCGCAAATTTGCAAAATAAATAACAAAGACTGCAGTGTTCGCTGGGCAGCCGCCTTTTTCCTGCTGGGCAAAAATGCTGCAGCATTATCTGTGTTTGCTCAAATCTGTTTGCAACCTTTGCTGGGTTGTAACCCAGCATTCCAGTGCTGGAACACAAAGGACCCGATTGAGTTATGCTGAGTATACCCACGGACAGGCTGGCCTAATGACATTTTTATTAGGTATACTGCGTGACCTTGCCAGTCTGAGGTAGAACAACGATCCAGGAATCCTAACACTTTACTTTCCTTTAGCCTCTGCCCTATTCAACTAATCTCTAATGTGTTTCCCATTTCTGGACCGAAAAAAAAAAAGACAGGAAAAAAAATAAATCAAGTGAGTAACCAACTCCAAGGCAAGAATTCAAACTGAGCTGTATGACCTTCCCCTTTCAAGAGTGCAAACATGTAATTTCCAATGAAAATGATCCAGCACCAGACTCAAAAAGGGTCCTGAAAGTCACAGATTAATTTGGATTTCCCATGCTGCAGGGAAACAGTACTTCTGTTTATACTGGCTGAACACCAAAATTTAGTGTATATAAGGACTCAACAATTGTACATTGTATGTTGTTACTTCAACAGAAAAGTCAAAGCATGGAAATCATTTCTGGCATAATTATTCTTCTATTATTTGATGTATTTCTAAGCAGCTGATGGGTCAATATTGAACAGAACTACCTGTAATTCAAGTTCCCATTGTTTTATTTAACTGCTTGTAGGCAAATAAATGCTATAACAGATTCCAACAGTTATCAAACATTTTCTCCCATGTTCATGCACTTTTCTCATACAAATTTGTTTCTGTGGGTTGTTTGTTAAGAAGCTTGGATATGAGGGAATTCAGCCTTCCACCTTATATAATTCCGTTTACCATTAACTATTTGTTAACTTTGGTCCCACAGTCAAGTATAAACCTCTATATCGCGATACATATAAAATAAAGTATATAACAGCTGAACAGGAAAAGCTGCCAACAAATCTTTAAGGTGACCTCATTTGCAATTCATGTTTACTTGTATTATGAATTTAGTTCTTAGAGCACAAGCCCTAAGGCTGAAATCCTAAAACTACTGACCGCGGCCGTACAAACTTCACACGCACTGACTTGCAACAACTGATTTGAGGGCTAAGAGATGGGCCAGCTTTCAGCGCACGCCTTGGTCCTTGGCCGTTCCACCGCGTTAATGTCAGTTCCACTTAGGACAGCGTTTCGGGCAGTCATCAGTTAAGACCATTTCACTCAAGTCATTGAAAAGCCACCCCACGATAAAAATGTGAGGTTACTACTTAAAAGGAATGGGCCAATCCATAGACTTTCGCGGCAGTTATTGAAATTCATCGTAATACCCTCATCCGCTTCAGTGAGTGTAAAACTGAACCAACGCAGAGCACGTATTATCCACTGGTTTATATCACATCCAGTCCTGCTGCAAAGGACCTAACTAACATCTGCAGGGGCTATATGCTCACTTACCATTTAATTTAGAGTCGAACCTATAAATTCACATTTGAAAAAATTCCAAACGGCTACATTAATTAAATTAAATTTCCAAATAAAACAATTGTATCCACATACATCAAATTAGAGAACAGGGGAAAAACCTAAACTCCACAGCCAGTTACAACTTGCAATTACTTTCAATACCTGAAAACGATATCGATCTTAAAGCTAAATGAAGTTCCTTACCCATGCTATATTTTGCTTTGGTACATGTCGTTCTTTTCAATATTTCATAAACCTATAGAATTAAAATAAAAGAAAGGAAAGGGTTACTTCAGATACCGCCAGTGAAAAGCACAGTCTTTTTTGTGTGCAGCTCAAATATTGGCAAAACCAAGATGAAGTCATCATTCTTTAATAAAAGTCATGGTATTCAGGAGAGCAGGGCTTAAAGATTTCCATGCCGAGTTACCCGTACAAGAGAGAAAGGCTTAACTAAATAGCCAGCTACAAAGATAATTGATCAGGGGAAACGGGGTTACATTTAACCACTCGCACAACAGAAATGCTATTTTTGCTCATGTTAGACATCGATCAAAGATCAGAAGCCCTCTTCTACCCGGACTAGGTGGTGTGCTGGGCCAGCTCTTCCCTCACCACCGACGGTGCAAGCCGCCTTCACCCCACAGACTTCAGCAGAGCTTCAGGCTCGTAACGTGTACGCAGCACGCAGCCGTTTATCAGAAACTGGACTAACCAACACAGGCTGACCTTAACATTTCTGAGCTTGCGTGACCTCAGTAGCAAAAGTGATGTATTTATTTTACGATTTATTGCATTTATTGTCAAATAACCTTTGCACATCTCACCACGCCGCCCGAGCAGTCAAGCTTTCGCCCTGCGCCGCTCCCGTGCAGCGATGCTTTTAGGCAAGGCAAGCACTCGGCTGGCGCGAGGCTGGCAGGGGAGCGGGCAGCAGAGGAACGCCACGGGCAGAAGCACCTGCTGCCCATTGCCTGGCCTGTCTGGGGAGTCGCGGACCGGTTCCCTGGGGATGCTCGCTAACCCGTGTGCTAACTCGGCTGCCGCCTGCCCAATTCACAGAGGGAAGTGAGCGAGGGCATAGGAGGCAAGCCCCACAGCTCATCTGCCTGCTGTTGTCTTCTAACTCCAGTGAGTTAAAGGGCTGTCGCAGAGAGATTTCCAGTTATATAATGTTTTGGGTTTTTTAAATAAGTAAAAGGTCTTTGGCTTAGTTTCTATTAATCAGAGATTCACAGGGAGTGACTAGATTCCTATTCATTTTGCAGTAGGCGGAAGAGTAAATATTTGCACTGTGGTTTAAAAATACATATGAGAAAGGCAGGAGAGAACTTTAAGAAACGAGAATACAAAGAGAAATGCACTCAGGATAAAATGATGCTGAGAAACATTCAATGTCTTTTATTATCAGGTGATTTACAGGGATTTCAAACAAAGCAACATACTACCAGCATTATTGTTATATGCCCAGTGTTCCTTGAGTGGTCTAAAAAACCTCCATCCCTCCTCTTCCTCCCAGCCTCTGCTATGAGCTCCTTCTGTTTCAGTCCATTTTTCAGTTAGTCTTGCTCACCCTCTTGTCCTATGGTGCCATTTTGTCTTGCTACCTTTCTCAGACAGCTTGTCGTCATGAATTTTAACTCTTCATTTGCTCCCTTAAGTTTCTTGTACTTACAAGTTTTTTTACTATATATCTAGACATATAAAAGAAAGTCTACAAACAAAAGCTATGCTTTTTTCAATCTCAAATGAAATGTTTTACTGCAAATAAACCAATTCAGTGTTTGTCGTCTTCTTTTCCATTTCTGTGCTGCTGCATCTGCCTTCCCTGGTCAAACTCACCTAGCCCTGATAACCTGCGCTCACATCAAATCAGCGCACTTCAAGCTACACGGGAACTACATCATGGGGTCCGCACACTGGAATTTCAAAGCAGGAAAGGGAAGTTGGATATCTTACACCCCTTATCACCGTAGCAATAAAAGACAGCTATAATTGCGATATAAGCTCTTTTTGAAACCACTTAGCATCCAAAAGGCTAATGTTAAATATAAGATAAAAGCATGCTCACAGTCACATTCCAACGCACCGATTAGCAGCAGTGGAATGGGGCAAAGAGTCCACGTTATACTTTGAAAAGTGTTGCAGCGAGTGCTGCTTGGCATGGTCCCTTCCAACTGCCCTGGATGTCATGTGAGCTGTCCTTTCAATTCCCCCCTCAGTGGCTATAAAGGAGGCTACACCTTCTCCCCCCCTCGATTTTATGTTCTGTAAGTCACACGGAAGCACTCAAATGCAGTTTGTGATATCGTATTCCTGTATTAGGCTTCATTTCTGTACGGGAACTGCAGAAGTTTAATTACGAGAGGAAAAGTCCCATGCTAGCACTGAAGGAGCAGAGAGACCCTCCAACACGAATGGCTCAGCCCAGTCCCAGTGCTGCGTACGTGTACATCACACTTGCTAGCCTAACAGAGGTGAACAGATGCATAAACAATCGGAACAAGATGCAATTTTCTGCCCTTGTTGCATTTGCTTCATGTAAACTTTAATGTTAAATAAAAAACATAAATAATATTAAATGATGTTAAATAAAAATCATAAGCCTCAACACTTTTAACACCATTCTAGAGAATGGCCCCCAAAACCTATAAATAATATTCCCCATAAAGACCTGGCTGTTTCATTGGAATTTGACTTGGGAGATTTCCCAGCATTTTTATAAAAAGAGCCATGTATAGTTACAGAAAGGTTAATGAGTCACAGGGGTGCAGGTAAGCTTGTGGCAGAACCAGCGGTAGAATCTAAATCTATTCCTTTCTGGTGATACGTCTACTAAGAAACTATGTCTCAGATTAACTGTGAACTAGAAAGAAGACTGAAATTATTTTCCAAAAGGCAGCAACCTGTTAGCAGCAAAGACTATTCATTACATAAGCTAAGCTGGAAATGCTTTATTTATAATTTCAGTAACTGATGTCACAGGCGATCCCTGGCATTTGGTTAAGAAAGGCAAATTTGCAACAGGCATTGTACTAAAGCTGGCAAAGGGGCTATTAACACCATGACTAAGGCACTATCCACCATAAATTATGTATATACAGTACTTACTATAGTGCTTCTCGTTTTGCTGTCAAAGAAGGAATCTCTGTCAGACAAATCAAATCTGTTAAAAGATTAGAAGGAAGCCCATTAGGTTAAAAAAAAAAGCCAGTAATTTCCTGCTCTTGTTGACCCCTTCAATATTTTCATTTCTCCTGGGGATCTCTCATAGCTAACATTAAAGAATAGCTTGTAGAAACCTCGTTAAAAAGAAAGTCCATCCCAACTCTCATTTTAAAGAGGCCGCTTATACGTTTCACTGGTTTTACATATTTATAGGATTTTCTGCACAAAAGAGACTGTTGATGCTCTTTTAAGTTGAATTCCCGACCGCTGCTGGCCTTGAATTTCTCCTAACGATCTTTACATTTTGTCTGTACCTTAAACGCTGCGAGGCCACTCTTGCCTCCCTTGTTCAGCAGACACACAGGCGGTCTCGCTGAAAAAAGCCACCACTGCGAACGGCGTTAAGGCACATCCACGCCTAAGCTAAGGAGCATCCTTTGGGCTTTCGCTGAGCCACCAGGCTCCTTTGCTGTAGGAACATCCTACATGCAAATACACATACAAACACATTTCCTGCAAGTCCAAGAACATGTCAAATGTCACATACATTGACTGGCCCAACTAACATACACAACTCCATCAGTGTTCTGCATCCCTTGATTAAAAACTAAAAAACCTGTATGTACACTGAAGAAATCCTGCCCTCGGACTGTTATTTGTTCCAGCTGGCACATACATAAACACAGCCTTCAAAGCTTCTCCTCTGGGATGCTGGCCAAGGAAAAGCAGCAGCAAAGCAATCCAGGGCAGTCGAAACTTTGGCTGGGCCCCACCTTATCATTTTTTCCTACACCCACATTTACAGCTATTCTTACTGATCTGAAATCGATGGCAAAGCTACCACGGACTTCATAGCATTTCCAAAGTCAAGGCCTGGTTGGCAGTACACGTGTGAGCTGCCCACACCAGATGAATGAAATTATTCTGAAATTTATCAACCTGCATCTCTGGCTACCAATTTTACTGAGCGCTTCATTCCACATGGAAAAGAGACTATTGTAAGCCACATTATAAATCTTGTTTGGCAGTCTAACAGTTGATGTGTATAGTTATATAGATATGTATTATATACCACAACAGCAGCACGGAGCTTTCACAGGGGGGGTCTACAAAGCCTCATTCCTCAACAGTGAGCCAAAAAAGAAAAAAAAAAAAGTAAATTTACTGCAAAATGGAAATATCCTTTACAGTAACGACTAACAAAGTGTTGGCGTTCATTTTCCCTTTCACCTTTTGGTGCCTCAGCTGCTATCAGGAAGGCTGGAACCTGTTGACATGGACATTTACAGAAAGCTTTCACTTACAGGTGCTGTTTCTCTCTGGAGAAGGGGTAGGAGAGGCGCTTCACCGTCTGGGGTTTGTGTTCTGCTACTTTTGGCTGGATGGGCTCTGTTATTTTTTGAATTACAGAGTTAATCTTTTTCAGAAGTCCATGGGTCTGATTGATCTGATACATCTGAGTGGGCAAAGAGAAAAACAGTAAAACTGTATTGCTTTCTGGTTATCCATAAGAGAGAGTGAACTGTAAGGAACAAACCATCAATTAAATAAATAAATCTGAACAAATTATCGAGGAGTATAGCTTACCTTCTTGAAAACATTCAGAAACACATAGATGGATGGGAAAGTCAAACAAGGCAAGCAGAGGAAGCCTACTGCTCTTCCTCTGAGCCAAAGCATGGCCCGTGTTTGGTTCCAAATAATCAGGCCGGGGAGTTCAGCGGAGATACACTTGGCACTGGCTCCCGAGACACCCGCTCCTCTGGCATTTACTATTTTCTTGGTGCAATGGGACAAAGAAATGAAGGAGCTATGGAGCCCCTGTGCAAAACAACAGAAGTGGTCTCCTCTCCCAGCGGGCTCTCCTGAGAATATTGTGCAGGTTTCAGGAGTTTCCCCTCTTCCATATAAAGGAACCAAAATATCTTGAATTGCCTGTTGCAGTTCTGTAGCACTAAATGCAGGAACTGTGTTAGCAGGTCACAAACGAGGATTACAGGCTTCCCTCTCTGAGCCACAAAAACTACGTGCGGTTCCAGGGCAGGGCTCCCACCGCAGGAAGATGCTCGGCTGGAAATAAGGCTTTAGGGGTCTGAGGGTGTTCTCAGGCACATCGCTTCTCCCGGGCAATGCCTGCAGGCTTAGGTGGCCTCTTCAACAGAAAAGAAACCCCCACAAAATGCCCACCCTAACTTTTCTTTTACGGCAAAGCAGCTTTAACCGCAGGATCACAACAGACTTCTTTTATCTAATTGTGCTTCTGATTAAGAATTGGTGGTAAGTGAGGCAATAATGGGGATTAATATGAAATCCAAACCAAAGGTGTGGGTTTAGTGTGGTAATAAATGATGCTGGGCTTTGAGACTGTCTCTTGCTCCATTATAGACTTCCCTCTGCAGTCTGGGACATGCACTTAGTATGTGTTTAAATATTAATCCATCTCTAAGCTGTGCTCACTGAACAGGTAGCTATCTATCACAGATGATTTAGAATTGATAAAAATATACTGCCATTTCTTTAATGATATTTCAAATATTCTGAAAGGTAATTTATTTTGTAGAAGAGTAGTCCCAACTCCTGCAAATATGACTAACGATGTATATGAAGAGTCACTAAACCCAGCGAGACTACCGCACACAAATTGTTACTCTTACGTTCATTTTCAGCAGTCTAGCGTTTTGGGTGAGAAAAAACCTCCAAAATGCACACCTAAACTTCAACATCAATTGCAACCTCTTCTTTTAAAACACGCTGAGAGGATGAGGCATTGTATGAAATCACTCGCATCACGTACAGACAGCGGTAGCGGCTGGGAATTCTTGATTTCCATTCCTCCTTCCAGTTATTCTTTCTGCTGTCCCAAGCAAGCAAGTTTGTGACTCTAATTTTCTGTACAGATTAGTTAACTATTTTAAAAATGCTTGTGGGAAGAAAAGTTCACATTTGTAAGGTGCTCAGAGACAAACATATGTTTAAACTATGCCTTCCAGAGGAAAAAAAAGAAAATCAGGACTCACCTTTTTTGTGGGCATCTTGAGCTTAAGAAATTCTGCCTCTCGACACAATACGTGCCACGGTGCGTGTATTTTTACAAATCCAACCCCATGGATTTTAGTCTTTAAAAAAAAGCAAGAGAAAACGTTATTCATGAGAGGAAATTAAGTATTTTTCCCCTTGTGTTTCATACGTATTTAAGGAACAGTCTATTACCGCCAACACGCTAAATCTCATTTGAGACAGCTAGATTCCAACAACAGGACAATCACTGAACACCTCTCTGTGCTGAGCTGCTATAAAATGTGACTCAAAAATGCTATTGTCTTCCAGAACAATTACCACAAGGTTAAACAGATAAAAATTGTTTGGGAAATAAAAGCTAATGACTACGGATACAAATACAGACTGAGACAGTGAAATCTGAAGCACAGGCATCCAGCCAAATGGTATGATTTTGTGAGCGCGTTGTAATTAACGGAGCTGAGAGAGCCCCTGCTGCCTCCTAAGAGCTGCTCAGTATCTCAAAGGACCAGAACTGCTGTAAGAACGAAGCAGCCGCAGATACAGATGTGAATATCTACATTAAAACACTACACATTTTCATTAGGAAAACTGCTAGGAAGAATTCAACAAAACAAAAGAAAAACCAAAAGATAAATGTTAATGCTAGCATTAGCAATATGCTTGCATCCCACTGGTTCTCTGAGCTCTGTTCTAGATGGCTGGACATGGGGGTTTGCTTCTGGCACTCCCGCATACACCCGTATTTACTCCCACGGGAGCAATCATTTCGAAGCCATTGGACAAATGATACCAAACTAGCAGGCATTCAGCAAACAGAAGAGAAAGAAACTTTAACGAATCTTTCTAATCTTGCTGCTGTATCAACTCAGGCAGTTACTATAATAACTAGCTTTCACGCAGCTATATTCTGCACTGTCTTTCTAGAAATCAGTTACTCAGAAGACATAAATAACTGCCAGCCTTCCCATAAGGCATGGCTTCCAAACCACCTTTGAATTTACTTCATTGAAGAGAGTTTAAGTGACTTAGTAAACATCATCTGTTTAAGAAACCTTTGCTCTTTTTGCAATTAGTAAAGCCTCCTACGCAATTTCGTGGCATGCTTTGCAAGCCCAAGTGATTGCAGGTTTTTCCCCCTCCACTGATGTGCTGGATATGGAAGCTGATGTAAATCCCCGCAGCTTGCTTTCATCTCTGTACGTTCCTGATCTGGTTTGGTATCTTGTACTGAAAGGACAGGGTTCTCTCTCTTTTATGGTGTCCTGGCTTGAACCCTGAGCCCTTCTGCATCATGAAATCATATTACATGTCATAGGCGGGGACCTCCCACCTTGCAAAGGACTTAAATATCTATGACTTGGCACAGGCAAGCTTCCAGTTCACTACAACAACTTGCAAGTTTGACAGAAAGCAAGTCTTATTTTCACCTGGGGGAGAAAGAAGTGAAAGGTTTTTTTGCATTATACTGTGCAAAATATATATTTTATTTATATCTATCTACATCTCATTATGTACACGCCTTTAATTTGGGAGTAATAGGTGGCAGATTTCTTTAACACTCTGATCACAGGTCTAGATGTTTGATCTCAACTTTTAGATCCTGTAACTAAAACCAGCATAAATGTTTACCCTCTCTCACAGGAGTTTCAGGCATATTGGTTGGATCAGTTAATTGTAATAGCTTCCTTTGAAATTAATACGGCTGTGCCTATTTCTACTAATCACACACTGGCAGTACTTCACACACATCATTTTTTATATAGTCTAATGGTCTTTTAATAGAATATACTGTTTTCAGAGTACAGGTGAAAGGCGTTACAAGCTGTACTGTTCATATCTAAGAATGGAAAGAGCAAACTGTAATACAGACCCACGTGCTCGAGCTAGGGCATGCACCAGAACCTCCTGAACAAATTTAGTTCTCTTGAAGTCAATACTGAGGTATAAAACTGTCACTGTCTGTATCAGGTATTTTTCATCAGAACTGGAATTACCAGTGGATCCAAACCACAGCATACTGTAAACCCACCAAACTGGGATTAGTCTTGAGAGCATTTAAGCCTCACTTCTAGATACAGCAACACATCAACAAGCTGTGTTGCAATAGTGGATGTGCCGCGCGTCCTGGCCAAGAAAAGTAAGAAACTTCACCTCATCGGGGCATTAACAACACTACAGCCCATTCCTGTGAAGCGAATTAAATTGGTGGGCGAGGATGGCACTGCCAGAACTGAAATCAAATTCTGGAAGAGCTGAGCTTGTGTAACCTCGATCAGAGCCAGGTTCACAGGAACGGCTCAGTATCTCCCAGGATTTGACCACCAGTTCTCCTCCCTATCTTTAACCATTTGAAAGGGCTCCTTACATCCTCATCGCGTTCCAGTTCCAGACCAGCCTCCACAAGGTTCCCTTCGTACTCCTCCCTGCGAAACCTCTTGTCGTCTTCGTGGTAATCCATGTGAGGTTCGCCTTCCCCCATTTCCAGCTGCACTCCTTTCCCGGGAAGCGGCTGGTCCTGCTTGGTGCTTCGGGCACTTGAATCATTGTGATGAACTCTCCTGGCGAGTGTCCTCCCTGCTGAGGACTTCTTGTAATGATAAACTAGGATGTAGTCTACTTTTCTCTTGCCATCTCTGAAGTAGAGTCCGTATTTGCAGTCAGCATCTGGATTTGTGGATAGGGAATTTAATAACTGGAAGCAGGGAATGGGGATGTGGAGAGAAGGAGAGAGGAGAAGAATAATGAGCACACACGCCAACAGGGACACCAGACAGACCATATCCTTGTATCAAGGACTCCTTGCCTGGAGCACACAATGACCCATCTTCAAACAGCACGCATACGGGAGGAGTCTCCACATGCTACTTACTCAAAACAATTTTCCAAGTTAACACCTGCAATTTTACTGATAGCCAGCTGGGATTTTACTGGCCAGAAATAAATAGATAAAATGACTGGGATTTAATCTAATTACCAGCGCACTAGTTCATAAGTCAGCTACTTAGTGGATTTGGTTTTCTCCTTTGGGGGTTAATCACCACTAAGATCACCTTCTGTGCTTCCACCCAAGACATCTGCGTTTCAATTCTGACAAATAGATTAATATCATGTGCAAACATTTCTCACTTCTCTTATCTATCATTGCAAGTTTCTATCATCTGAGAAAGAGATCATCTTAGATACAGACTGAAGGGAGCCAGCTGGTCGTGAAGCACGGCCAAAAATGCAGATGGACCGTAGCCAGGGAAGTGGGTTCATTGCTTACTGAGTTCACCACTTTTCTTCCCCACTTATAAAACCTGTGTTGCTTTGCAATCTGATGGTGGCAAAGGCTTTATTCCCATCTTGAATTAACACTGTGTTAAGTGTTGCAAGATGCAAGAAATGTAAGTCTTAAAACACAATACCATTTCCAAGCATTTATCTGAAAACTGCACGGGGCAACTGTAGAAACATACAAAAGTACTAACATTTATTCATTTCTACTTTCAATAGCACTCCTAATGCATAAATCACAATTCTGCCCTTGGAGATGCACAGACCATTTAAAAAAAAAAATAAAAATTCACTAGTAACTTGCATTTGTTTCTACAAAAAATACTCATCACAGGAGTGGCTTTTCAGGGACCAGGGACATTTTCTGCCTTTTAATTTTACAGAAGAATGTTAAGCCTCCACGTAGGGAAAAGGACTTGTGCTCCGAATGATAGCAATTGGCCATCGGTTGCAAATCATTATCGGTCAAAACTCGTTTGGAATGGGTACACCTTCTGCTTGTTTCATACATAAAACCACAAATGTAAGTTATTTGCAAACAGTTGTTTCTAAGACAGTCCCATTTTTAAACCCCAGATGAAAACAGCAACCTCTGAGCTTACTGTACAATATATTACAGCCAATGTAGCCAAAACTTCATTGAAATCCACCCAATATTACACAAATTTGCATACTTCTCTGAACATCGCTTTGGGGAGGGCAGGTCCCAGCTACCGTAACTATAAATCAATGCCTTTAAGGGACAGCCTGTTCTTCCCTTTTTGCCTGGGGGAGAGTTTTACTCAGACAACAAATTCAAGCAGCAAACCCCATCTTCCTGGGTTTGGAGGGAGGAGGAAGCGCACTGAAGAAGTAATTAGACAAGTGGAATCAGATGAGCGCATAGCAGTAACCCTCAGCAAGGAGGACTGGCAGACAGCAAGAAGCCCGAGATGCCAGGCGGTACGTGGAGCAGCCGCCTGCCGAGGTGGGGATGCCTGAACATTCATTGCTTTCCAAAGCCTGACTTGACCACGTCTGCCCAGGGCCAGCTTGGCTGCAGGTCCCCATCTCCTCAGTCCCTCGCTGCTTTGCTCCATACCTGCCTTTGCTACCTGCTTTTCTCTCCTTTTCTTTCAGGATCCCATCTCTCTTTTCCATTTAACCTAAACCCTTTGCTCCAAATACATAAATATAACGTAAAATAATACAGCATTTGCTGCTACCATGGAGTTCACTCTTCGTCCTATTCCCTCTTTCCCCTGCTCCACGTCTGTCTTATTTAGCCAGGGCACAGGCTGCTCATGTTTGTGCCCTATCTAGATATTCCTATTTAATTCTTGAGCGTAACTACAATACAGAAGACCATTAATAACGATTACTTTCTGATTGCTTCATGATTAATGGCATGCACCTGTGAATTCAGAACATTTTTTTAATGCAAGCTGACAGTCTGCTTGTGGCAGGCAACTCACTTATGCAAATATCTGTAGAAACAAAATATTAAGAAATAGTAACTAACTGGATTTTCAGGATATAATGCCTCTTCCAAGTAAACAGTTGTTGTAAACAAGATACAGGAACACTGGGATTTCTTTTAAGATAACTAATTGTATTTAATTTTTAAAGATGTGTCGATCTTATTAATTAATTAAACATCAATTTCTGAAAAACTAGGCTGAGCCGACAGACGTTCAGGTAAGTGCAGGGAGATAAAACAGGCAAAAGACTCAGACCCCAGCCACTTCCTACCCACATCGGACTGACTTTATGAGGGACAGCAATTAGTCGGTCTGTCCTGGAGACTAATAAATAAAGGAAACGGGCAGGACTGCAGATGGCTCTTGAAGATGCCAGCAGTGAGCGCGCCAGATGTTTCTAACTGCTCGGGGAGCTCAGGAGAGATCAGTACATCCCAGCCACAGCTCCTCTTCTCCTGGAGCACGCCCTGGGTGGAGAAAAGTGGCACTGAAAATCCCTAGTTTCTCTGTGTCTTTGAGCCACTGCCATCAGGAAGGGGCCAGGTCACACTGCAGAAACTGAATGACAGCTTCTTCCCATTTCTTTGAACTTTCCTGTTGAAAAGCTGACTCACTGATCATTTAGGAGAAGGTGCTGCACTGTGGATACTAAAGACTCAATAAATTTATTAATATATGAGAATAGCTACATCCCACTGCGAAAGGGATGCAGCCAAAAGACTCAAAGAAGCCTGTTGGTCCTGTTTGAAAGAAAGAAATGGTTAGATTCTTTTAAAGGGGTGGTATTAATGCTGAAAGGTACTCATAGGCCACATCCTTTCTCACAGTGCTGCTACGCTGAAACAGAGAGAGCGCTGCCTTGACTTAGACCACATAAGGCTCATGTCCCTTCGGTTGCAAATGAGACACAGAAAAGACATTTCAGTTTTACCACAGCAGGAGGGGTGTTTACACTCTTGACGGAATTATTCCTCCATGCTCCATCCTAATTAAGCACAAGCACAATGAATCAAGTCTTGCTTTTTCTGGTATATCTCTCCCCAGCGAGATCTGTTATATAGCCCACTCCACCTCAATTCCTTCACCTGAATAAACTCCTTTTTATGTGTTTATGACATAACCAACTCCTAATCCTGTTGGGTATTCATATTACTGACTTTCTTTAAAATCAGTGTTAAAGAATTTAACCAAGGCACAATTAATGACACTGGAAATCTAACCTCTATTGTGTGCTACAGAATATTAGTTTAATGTTACCCATGTTAACACTAGCTTTCACGTGAAATTTTAGACATTTTTTTCTGTTCTACTCTATACGGGCAAAGAGATTTGAAGGTTGCCACAGCCTTATAGCCAGATTGATTACTCTGAGAATAGCCAACCCCTTTTTATGCCACAGGTTAAACAGCAAGGATCCCTTGCTTCCCTTCTTCACATCAAAGAACAAACGCCACTAAATTAGCACGTACTGTGGCTGGTGGCAATCAAAGAAAGGGAGGGAGAAGATTTCAGAGCATCCTGGGAATGGAAAGAATGAGAAAAAAGCTAAAAGGTAAAGCACAGTACGCCAGTTATGACACATCTGGCAAGTCCTTTACTCACTGTACTCTCATGCTGGTCATATCCTATATCCTCAATAGCTCGGATGTTGATAATGTGGATCCCCTTCTCCTCAGCAGGTAGACAGGAGTATTTCTTGTTCACCCTCATTCCTGTCTCCTCCGGAGCCTCGTTGAGATCTTCTGGCAGAAAATCCACCCCATGAAACTCACTGTCTGCGTCTGAAAAGGAACAATTTCATCAAGACACTTTAATCCCAACACTTGCTCCTCCCAGAGCCACCCAAGCTGAAACGTATCCTGTTCCTGCCTTCTTCTGCCAATGAGCCCTTGTGCAGGGCTCCCACCCGCCTCTGTGCCTCCCTTCCCAGCTCTCCCGCAGCCCTCTTCAGCCCTACCTAGGTCTCCTCCTCCTCCTCCTCCTCCTCCAGAGGAGTGCTCAGTGAACTTCTTTTCTGCACTTCTGTATCAGGATGCGTTTACTGTATGGTCTCATAGAATGATTACATTTCTTGGCAGGAGAAGGACAAGAAGGGAGGAAAAAAAGAAAAATAGTCCAAGAATTAGCTGGTGACGATAGGTGGCATGGTGTTTTCCCCTTTTCAGTAGGCATTTTCTCCTTGAACAAGCACTTGTTCATGCTGAAAAACTTAGGGGGTTTCCCCTCAAGTACCTGTGTACTGCATCTGATTTACTGAACCATTCTTATTTAAGCAGTCTTGAAAATCTGAGGTTTTCTCCCTCTCAACCTGCCACACATCCGTACTGTTTCCACTTATTATTTAAGTATATAGATGGGCTAAAGGATTTAAAGTAAAAATTTCACTACAAACTGAGCAACCAGATAACTGATAAAACGCAAACTAGTGTTTGCGTATGTGCATTTTATGCAAGCAATAGAAGGCAAAGTTTTCCAAGATTTGATTCATTTTGACATTGAAGTAAAATACTGCAGCATTATGCCCTTTTTTTAAACCACACAGGAGCAGGATTTCCTTGTCTAAAGAGTGAAGATAAAGCAAGAATTTTAGAATTTAGCCTTGAACGGATACTAAATTAACTCTCCCATAAAACCAAACAACAAAAACATGTAGAGGAGCACGCTCTAGTAGCAGCTATATTACAACTGCCTGTTGCTGCAACTAGTTCAACACTCTGGGGCAGATAGCAGCAGAAATTGTACAGAATTAGCCCATTTGGAAAAATACTTCCCTCCTACCGAGAGCTGCCACTAAGCTTACGATGAGGTGAGGATAAATGTCACATTTTAATTAGCTATGTCTTAGCCTAAGAGCACGTTACTCCTCTTCACCAAACTACAAGTTTGGTTGAACTTCAGGGATGATGTGGAAGGAAGAGACAGGGAAAATCTCATTCCCCAACAAGTTTGCAGATGACGTGAAACTGAGGAGCATGGTTGATAAGCTGGAGGGTAAGGCTGCCACTTCAAGAGGTCTCAACAGGCTGGAAAAATGGGCTGAGAGCAGCATTATGAAACTCAACAAAGTCAAATATGAAGTCCTGCACTTGGACAGACTAGTCTCAAGCACAAGCACAAACTGGGCAAGGACCAGATAGAAAGTAGCTCTGCAGAAAAGGACCTGAGAGTCCTGGTGTACAGGTTCGGAGTAATCATCTTGAGTGGTGAAGGATAGCTGCATACTGGACTCCATTAGTAAGAAAGCAAAGACAGCAGGCCTAGGGAAGCAATTTCTCCTTTATTTGACACTTGCCAGACCACAGCTAGAGTGCTGTGCCCAGTTTTGGCTCCCCAGGACAAGAAGGACATTGACAATCTTGAGCAAGTCTAGTGGAGGACCATCAAGCTGATCAGGGGGCTCGAGTGCACAAGGAGAGGCTGAGACACCTGCGCTTATGCAGCCCAAAGAGGAGAAGGAAAATGATGGGGTCCCATTCCTGCCTTCAACTATCTACCGAGTAGGTACAGACATGGCAGAGCCAGATTCTTCTCATAGGTGGACAGCAAAAGGATGGGAACAGACACAAGTTGCAACACAGGAAATTATGACCAGACATTAAAAAAAATCTTAATTCTTTAACAACGACGGTGATGACATGATGGGGAAAGGGCCCAGTGAAGCTACAAATCTCCATCCACCCCTGGAGATGGTCAGAGCTCAACCGCACATGGTCCCAAGCAACCTGACCCAACTTTAGTGGTGGGAAGGCACTGCATGAACCTGCAATCCAGGTGCTTCATGGCGACATGCAGGAGTTAGCATGAACAACCACCTGCAACAGCAGAGGAGGAAGGTGCGGCCAAAGCCTTGGCACATTTCTTGAGCTTATCAGAGTAAGATAAACATTATTAGTATAAAAGTCATGCTTCTCTGGAATTGGTAGTCATGCTTCTCTGGAACTCGCAAACACCACGAGTTTGTGGATCTTCATTTCAGTTCCTGTATCTGAGACATTTGCTGCCACAAGAGACTCTCTACAAGATGACCACTTTCCTAGGAACTGCAGCACTCATTAACACCATCACCTTTGCACAAAATCTGGGCAGCAGTTATCCTTACGTATTTCAGGCGCACAGCATGTAATGCCCATATCTCTGCCGATCTGTGCTGCTGTTCTTAGCTTTTCTTTAAAATTCTCAAACAGATATCTCAGAAAAGATGCCACGCTTGCGATCTTGGGGCAGCATCCTCGAACTCAGTAAATCACTTGAATAACAACTTGTAATAGTTAAAGAAACTTTTTATGGGGTAATATAGAGATGCAGCCAAAAAATCAGCTGCCTCATGGGAACGACTAGCATGTTTGTAACAATTACCTACACATGTGTGCTCTCTTTTTCCCAACTTACACATGCATATATATACACACACACTCCCGGAACACATGGGAATGGATACAAATGCGATCAGCTGCAGAATCCTATGTACTCAAGCTTTTTTCTATAGCTGTAAAATACTCATATAATAATACAACAACTTTTGGAACTTCATAAGCATAACAACCTGCATTTTTATTTGGAAGAATGCCTGAAACAACTTTCTAGAAACAATAGTTTAAGTGCTGTAAAAGTCCTCTCTCCTTTTTCCTCCTTTCACACACGTACTAAATAAAACCTAGTTACTTCAGCAGATTACAAAGGATATTAGAAGAGAAGCACCTTTTACTGACTATGAATCTGAGTATTTCGTATGTCTCATAATGGACCTGTGAACTCAGAAGTACTAGTTTGGAAATCACAGTTAGGATGGAGTATGTTTAGAGCAGAAAATCGCAAGCTTCATTGAGTCCAAACGAGCTCCCTGTGCTCTGGAGCTGCACTTCTGAGCAGTATTTGTTAAGCCCACAGTACAGAGCAAGGAGACCTGCTCAAATGATTCAGTACTATTGTGCAAGCCCAAACAATCACCCACCCGCAAGCATCTCCTTACATTGCTGTTTACACATCAGTAGCCTGGCAATATCGGAAAGAACAAATACTTAAGGTAGGCAATGAATCATACAATTTTGGTTTCTTATGACTACTGAAAAAGATGTGAAATGTGAGAACTTTATTGATACAATCTTAATTACAACAAGTTTGATTTCTCTACTTAAAGATGATGTCAGGATTTAAAAGCCATCCAAACCACTTTGGTAATTACAAACGCACAGGGATTATAACTAGTTCACTTATGCTGATTTGGCAGAGGCCAAGGCATTCTGTTGCAGAAGACAAAACATCTTTTTATATGGAATAGTATTCCATATAACTTTTTAAAGACTTAAAACCATGAATATTTTGTGTTAATCATATTAAACAAGGACAATAATTTAATCTCAGAATAAATTCACGTTCAGAATTATTTATGGCAAGATAGTAGATGTAATATGAAGAGCACAAAGCACATCAATGTCTTAATTCAGCTAGAGTCACATCTTAATCTGTTTGGAGCTGAAAGAGGAAAGTATTGTGAAAATTGCTAGCTTTGCTGCCTTCTAACATTGACTAACCCACTCTCTTCCATTTACTAACCAGAAAACACTACAACAAAGACTTGAAGAAGTGCTCAACGTTATTTCAACACAGCCATATAACCAATCAGCCATTTCTCCTCCCTGTCTACAGCTGATGTTGTTCAGAAACCCGTGGATTTCCAAACAGCAGAAGTTCCTAATATTCCTGGAACATAGACTCAGACCCACCCGATGCTTCTTTTACACTTTATTGTGTATTGCTTTGTCATTTCCTAATATTTGCTACAAATCACAGAACACCCTGCCAAGTATACAATATATAATGATATACTTCAAAGTATTCCTTGCCTGTCTCAAAACACCCACATTCCATAAGAGCGCGGAACACTGGAAAGCTTTTGATACCGATTTCAATCCCATCCGTGAACCAGGTTTGAGAAAGTATTTGGTGAACATCAGACGTGTATAGAACTACCTTCCTTAGCACAGGCGCTGCCAGGTAATTCCCGTATTTGCTGTTAATAACCCCTGTATTTTTTATAGCCGGCATAAAAGAACAGGCTTTTGGGCAGCACTTGTGTTTAGGAACAGCTCCATAGGGTACGTGACCACACAGGTATCTTAACAGCTGTCCCTTTTTTGTTAGGAGTGAGGTAACATGGGAGAGCAAGAAAAAGACGACATAGAAACAGATGTTTGCAGCAGCTCTCAAGCTACCTTTCTGCTCTCTGTGGGAGTTTTCCCAGAGATCTTGGGATGTTGTGGATTACACTGAGCCACCAGCTGCAATTCAGAGCATGGAAATGCTACAACGACCTTGCAAACTGCAGTAGAGGTATCTTAGCCATTCTGAAATGATCTCTCTGTAAGACGCAACAGGTACAGTGAGCTCTGTGCTGTTTCTAGTACAAAATAAGCAAGCACTATATTAATCTGAAGTAGATAAACTTATATGAAACAGAGATGAGAGCATGAGGACAGAAACTGGTGAATGAAAAGATCAGAAGAGACAACTGCATTGTAACAGTAAGGAAGGTCTGTGCATGCCTTGTGTCTTTGCGCCCGTTACTTCTCCCCCTGAATCTCAAATGAGGCTCTCTCTCTGAACAATACGGGAAACAAGTTTAAAATAATAAAAAACCCTCAAACTTGCAAACATCTGCTCCTTTGTTCAAACTTCAGTTGCAGCTGTAAAAATCCTCAAATTCTTCTTGCAAAAATTAACACTAATTAATTAACGATAAATTTTCCACCACAGAAATTTGGCACATTATGCTGTAGCCTTT